CACTTCTAAGAATTGGAGTGTTGGAAAACTTAATTGCCCAAGGGATTTCGTGTTGGAAATTCCAGAAATATTGTCTCAAGAGTTTCGAAAACTTAGCGATAAATTCAATACCATAGTTGATACGTGATAAAATAGTTAACTGGTTATCGATTTCTAAACTGAAAAAGTAACAAATATTATATATATTTTCGGACATTAAAAGGATTAATTAGATTTATCTAAAATTAAACTGTTTCCAAATAAAATTATAATACAATTATGTTCGTTTTATATGATAATTATAATTAAAATCATCAATCAAAACAGTAATAGAAGTGTAGATATCATCAGGTTTAATTTATTTGGGATTTTTATTGCTGTAGTAGTATTGCTGCTACACCAATATTAAAGCAGGAAATTAATGGTTTATTAAATAAATTTTTATCGATAATTTTGTAAAGAAGTAAAGGAATTTAAATGATTAAAATATTCTTAGAAAATTCGTTCTGAATGCATAACCAGAAAAAATACTTTTCTATTTTTAATACGAATTTAATAAACAATTTTATTTTTTTAATTATAAAAATAATGTATATAAAGAAAATATACTTAAAAATTAATTTTATAATTAAATAATTTAAAGTTATTTTTTCTTGTTTTTTAATGGCGCAAAATATGATATTTATTTCATTTTATTTTTAAAATTTTAATAAATATTATTGGTTAAAAGTAAAAAAATAAAGACCAGTTTTATTTTTGTATTCGATCCTTTAATCAATTCTTTATCAATACTGAAGTACGAAAGAAAATAGGATTTTTTACATGAAAACAATTACGAACAATTAATTATTAAAGAAAGAAAATAAACTGACTTTACCACAATTCAACACTGAAAAATTCATTTCTTTTATTAAATTATTTTATTTTAATTTGAAAAATGCATACATACCTATTAATTGATGAGTGATGATAAGTGAAATTTTAATTTTACAATATAAAATTTATAAACCGTTTTAAAATATTAAATGATTTTTAAATAAAAAATATTTTATACAAAATAATTTAAAAGAAATTATTTATTTATTTTCTTTAAATTAAGATTATTTACTTTTGTATACTATAAATAAATTTAATAATAATAAGAAATAAAAGCTTTTACAAAGCGTAAGATATAAATTTGTTTATATCAACAAATAAGTCCATTTAAAGTAAACAAATATAAAAATTAATTTTATTAAATTGTTTAAATAAAATATTTATATTGTGTTTTCTTAGATTTTTCTTAAATTCTTAGATTTCGTATCAAATTCTTTTTATATATGGAAGAAGGAAGTATTATTTGAGTTACACAAAATACACTTTGTATTATAAAAAATAATATATGATAAACCCATTGTTAGTCTTTTTATCTGCGCAAAGAATATTTAAACTGAAAAATTAATATTTTTTTAACATGTGTCACTTTGAAAAGACGATTTAAAATATCTTTTTACCATGGATGAAAACCTAAATCTTTCAGGAATTCTTGATTCTTTAATATAAATGAATTGAGACTATTTTCTATTATACTAAACAAGTTTCAAGTCATATTCATATTAAATAACGATACACGATAAACTGGTAAAAAAATTTTAACTTTAGAATTCAGTTATTTCGGATATTCCTCTTATTCTGTGGTCTGTTATGTAATTGTTGTGATAAGCGAAAGGCTACAACACTCCTCTATCGAGAATGATATGAAATATAATTGTTGGGATATTTATTGAATATCTTTTATTTTTCTATAAAAATTTATAATTATTTTCAGCAGGAACAAATAAATTTACACATTTAATGTCATGGCAAAGGAGTAACCAGGCACGTTACACTCATCTCTTAGAATTTTACACATAAATAACATGCACATTTTTTTCTGATTTATATAAGATACAGAAAACGCATTGACAGGCGTAACATAGCATTGGAAGTATAGACTAATTGTTTTAAATAACTTACACTGATTTCTAATATCAGAAAGTTTCAATTTTTCCATCGGCTGAATTACACTTATAATCAGATGAGTTTTAGTAAAAATGTATTTTAAATGAGGCTAAAACTATTTCGCCATAAAAAACGTACATAAAAACGAAGCTAACTGCAATCTATTACTTTACAAACATTCTTTACTTCTTTACTTCCAATAACTATATTGTTTCTAAAAACCATAAATTGAGTTTTACTCGGATTTATTTTTAAGCACAATAATTTTAAAATATAGTACAGAAACGTTATCTGCGTATTGTAAGAAGTGAATTATTTTCTTCTCTGTTTATATCCCATCATATTAGTTTTCAACTACTTGTCCAATATCTGAAACGTAAAAATGAAAGAGAAACTGCAAAATTCGTTTACGTATACACGTCTGTGTGTATTTTAATTGAAGCATATTCTGCGTTTTCTTGAACAATTCGAGCTTTGTGGTTATACACTGGCCCGTTTAATCTGCAATGTTTTTAATACGGTATTTGAATTGAATCGAAAGTTTTTTTCAAAGTCTACAAAAACTGTTTTTTCTTGAAAGTTGGTTCTGTAAAATAGAGTATAGAGCAAAAATTGCTTGAGTTGTATCTCTGTTCTGAGTATAAACAAGCTGGATTGAATTAATTAGATTGTTTTGCTTATTCCATTCTCGAAATCCTATTGTTAGTATAGATGAAAATGCTTTTCTTAATGCCGATAAAAAGCCTGAAGGGCGATAACTTTCAGGATTTTGCTGACTGAACTTTTTTTTTTATAAATCATACAATACTTAATTATAGTCTAATTTGGTGTATATGCAGCTGTTAAAATATAATTAAGTACACAAACTAATATAACAAGTTGGAATAGGAAATTGCTTTAAAAATAATACTAGTATTAAATTTATACTTGGTAAAGTACTATTATGCATAATTTTACAGATTGATCTAATTCATGCAATGTTATTTGTCAGTCTACCCTAGTTTCATTATCTCTTTCAACACTAATTATTACAACTCTTCAGTATTATTAGTAAACCTTTACAATACTGTAAACAGTATAGTACTATAAAAAAGTTATAAAATATTAATTTACAAATATGCTAATAATAAACTTAATGCGAAAGTACAGTACATAAATGAGAAAAATAGTAAAAGATGTTACAAGATTAATTATAATAATATATGCAGTTCGTTAAATTATATAAAATACTAATCAGAAATGATTTTTGGTATTTTAAATAAATTCATGAATACTTGGCGATTAGTTTACCTTCATCACAATTGGTTAACGAAGTAAATATATTTGTAATCAAACTTTAAATTCTAAAACCACCAATCAATGTTAAGATAAATAATCCATTTCAAATCTTTTATACGTTATATCTTGTATATATCTCAGAGGACTACATATAAATTTACGATATATTTTAAAATCTTTTTAACCTGATTAAATTTCAACACATTTGCTATAAATTGATATAAATCTTGTAAAATACGGTATTATATACAGTGGGTGATCGATTAACGAACATAATCCGTTCCAAGACTTTGTTCGCTATCCGAATTGTTCGTTAACCGATTATCGATTTACCATAGGTTTTAATGGTAATTTAATTAATTCGTTCTGGAGACCCCCAAAAATAAAAAAATATATATACTTTCTTACTACGTTTATTTATATGTAATAATAAAAAACATACATACACAGTCTTGCGTTTTTATTAGTCATGTGTTTTCCGTTTGAAAGGGTTAAAGAATCTGTCTAATGTCGATTGCTTTTCTCTCTTCTTCAGGATTTTTCTTAGGCAATTAATAGCATTGCAATTGTAGAAATCCCAAGCCTCAACCTGGTTTGGATGCCATTCTAAGACCGTTGTTCTGACATCCTCCCACTTCTTTAAAGGATCTTTAATAACACATATCGGCATTAATCCTCTTTTTCAGAAGAAAACATTTCTCGCCGAGTTTCTTGGCGTTCTTCTGTCGTCAGATACGTTTCCGGTTTCATGTTCTTCGATGTTCTTTATTTCTCAGATGTGATTTTTGTTACTCTTTAGTTGCTTGAGTCTTCTCGATCGGCGGCCTACTGTAGACCTGTTCACGCCAAACTGCCCAGCAACATTAGGTATCTTCTGCCCACTCTCTACCTATGCTATTATACTCTCATCTTTCGAAAAGAAAAACAGACGCAAAACATAACTAGTTCCTACCCGACAGTCTCGCAAATACATAAAAGAATTGTTTTGTCAGAAAAATAAAAGGCTGGAATTACAAGGGAAAATTTCAAAGTTCGGAGGAATACTATCCGATCGGTATATACCGGCTTGNAAGGGATAAAATCTATTGCTCTACTAATATTCTTTTGCCTCTGTCTTTCTTGTAGCAACATGACATAGTTCTTACAATTTCTCCTGGGGTTACTCTGTAGAAAAAAGTAAACAAAATGTTGCTTTAGTTGCTTTCTTTCTTACATAGCCGACCATCTGAGGATTTTCTTAAGCTAAAGAGAGGAGAGAATTAACTTCTTCCAGCACTATTAAGAAAGTTTGTAATTATGTGTGTTAACATTACTTAACAGTATTTGTGTTTAATCTGACTTAAGCTAATTCCCGAGCTTAAAGTTACTTATACCTCTATTGAAAAATTTACAATATGGTGTTTCAACTAATTCCAATCTAGCAAATGAGATTATAAGTCACAGCCTTTATTGTCCCTCATTGTATAGTTAATCTTGATTATCTGTAATGTTAACGGTTAAGAAATAAATTTAAGACAATTAATAAGCTGGATATATGCATAGAAACTCGACATTCTGCTAAGATTAAAGGAATCAACAAAGTAATGGACGTGTTCCTGACACATTTCTATAACAATACATGAACATTATAAAATCTTTCTTAGAAAACAATAAGAAGAAAATCAATAAATTAAAGATATATTAATATGATTTATATATATTTAAGCTCTATCAGTTGCATTTTTATTTAAGATTTATTCATAAATAATTTCTTAAATTTGCAGAATTGTGCGATAGCTTCAATAATTGAAAGCGTAGTGGAGGAACGATCTCATAAGTAAGTACTTTTTAACATGATAAAATCATTAATAAATTTTATTATTTTTAAAAGTTAAGTTCTTCTTTGATAAAGTTTATTGTGTGAATAACACCATTGTATAGCGCTAAAGAGTAAACAGTTATGTTTAATGTCTGTATAAAGTTTAAACTGTTCACTAAGTTAGCAAAACTTTAGAAAAATCAAAATGTTCTGACGTATATCATTTGGCTTTTTACCAATTTTAAAGATAGTCAACTTTTTATCTCTATTTTTATACCTTAAAAATGTGTTTATACTTTATATGAATTTTTATATTCAGTTCAGTAGTTTTGATAATTAATGTAATTTTTTATAATGTTTAAAGAGCTTAATATGAAATTATTACTTTAAAAATAATTTATGTAAAGTACATAAATATAAGGAAAAAATATTATATTATTTAATAAAAGATTTATGAGTAATTTTTCGATGCGCTCTACAATTAATCTCTTCGATATAACATCATTAATATGTTTACAGTTACATTGTTTCATAATGTTTAGTTAAATCTTTAATTTGCTGAAACAACTTTGTTCAAACTAAATTTAAACATAGAAAGATCAAAGGAAACTAATAATTAAGCATCATATTACTGTGATTAGTAGTTTCTCTTGTTGCCTATTAATATCAATGCGTTCGCTTCATTAACTCTATAATCAGTTTGGAAACAGTTTTAATGTAAAATTATGCTTATCTACATTGATACATCGGTTTCTTTATCTGTTTATAAAATAGTACAAATTTATATAAATTTCATTCATTTAATTACTTTTTTAAACACGAATTGATAGCGTAAATAATGCTTGTCACAGTTTCTCCTCCACTTCAATTAATTATCATCGGATAAACAAAATCGTGACTATAAATCAAGCTTAAATATGAAAAAAAAATGATCTAATCATCATGAATAAAGGATCATCACATATCTCCTCCTGTTTTTCTCTTTGATTTATGTCTTGTTGACAACCCGTAATAATTTCATCTTGGATTTTTTTTTGTTTTATATAATTATAATTTTTACGTAGAGATATTCAAATTTTATTTGATTAATTGTTCTTTGAAACACAAAAAACTTGTATGTTAAATGAAAATATAAGAATTATTTTATAAAATGTTCTGAATTAAATATATGAAGTAACATTTTCTCTTTTATTTTTATTTAAACAATATAAAATCAATAAACTTTATAAAGTTTACTTCAAAAAAATTGATTTTTGGATCGTTCTTTTCTAATATTTTAATGTTTTCTTAGCGTTTTCAGGGTATGCTTTAACAATTTGCCAAGTATATATTTTAGTTCTAAGTATTAGCAAGAAGAATCTATCTAAGAATGGCATACAATAGAGAATGAATGTTTTTGATGGATGAGAATGCATTGAAGCGAGATAAGGATGTTATATGAGAATGAAAATGGTTCAGGTATAGAATAAAATAGAAGAAAAATTGGAAAGAATTGACAGTTTCCAACATCCCCGACAATATAAAATATAGATTAAATCAATAATAAATTATATAGACGTCTGCAATTAATTTTGGTAAAATTTCACTTTATAATTTTCGTTAATTTTAAACTATGGCTTGTGCATTTTATCAGTGGATTACTGTGTAATTCCATATATTCAACTAATTGGTAATCTAGAATTAATGAGAATAATTCCAGGATTTTCCTACCAAATGATTATGAAGATTGATAAATTTTCTTCATAGTATTGAACGATAATCCGAAATTAACTTCTTGATTCTTATCTATATTTTTCTATAGGATAATTCTGTCTTATATAACTTATTGCATATGAAGAGCAAAATTTATATAGTACAATATCTCCAGATAACTTTTGCCTTCGTGTGTTTTCTTGAAACAACATATTATCTAATAGAAAAAGAGAGTCGTATGATGTCTAAAGGGATAAAATCTATTGCTCTACTAATATTCTTTTGCCTCTGTCTTTCTTGTAGCAACATGACATAGTTCTTACAATTTCTCCTGGGGTTACTCTGTAGAAAAAAGTAAACAAAATGTTGCTTTAGTTGCTTTCTTTCTTACATAGCCGACCATCTGAGGATTTTCTTAAGCTAAAGAGAGGAGAGAATTAACTTCTTCCAGCACTATTAAGAAAGTTTGTAATTATGTGTGTTAACATTACTTAACAGTATTTGTGTTTAATCTGACTTAAGCTAATTCCCGAGCTTAAAGTTACTTATACCTCTATTGAAAAATTTACAATATGGTGTTTCAACTAATTCCAATCTAGCAAATGAGATTATAAGTCACAGCCTTTTATTGTCCCTCATTGTATAGTTAATCTTGATTATCTGTAATGTTAACGGTTAAGAAATAAATTTAAGACAATTAATAAGCTGGATATATGCATAGAAACTCGACATTCTGCTAAGATTAAAGGAATCAACAAAGTAATGGACGTGTTCCTGACACATTTCTATAACAATACATGAACATTATAAAATCTTTCTTAGAAAACAATAAGAAGAAAATCAATAAATTAAAGATATATTAATATGATTTATATATATATAAACTCTATCAGTTGCATTTTTATTTAAGATTTATTCATAAATAATTTCTTAAATTTGCAGAATTGTGCGATAGCTTCAATAATTGAAAGCGTAGTGGAGGAACGATCTCATAAGTAAGTACTTTTTAACATGATAAAATCATTAATAAATTTTATTATTTTTAAAAGTTAAGTTCTTCTTTGATAAAGTTTATTGTGTGAATAACACCATTGTATAGCGCTAAAGAGTAAACAGTTATGTTTAATGTCTGTATAAAGTTTAAACTGTTCACTAAGTTAGCAAAACTTTAGAAAAATCAAAATGTTCTGACGTATATCATTTGGCTTTTTACCAATTTTAAAGATAGTCAACTTTTTATCTCTATTTTTATACCTTAAAAATGTGTTTATACTTTATATGAATTTTTATATTCAGTTCAGTAGTTTTGATAATCTTTTTTCTTGTTTAATACTTTAAAAATATTTTTGTAAATACTTTAAATAAAAATGTATTTAAATTAATTAAGAAAAATATTTTTAATTTAAAAAGTACATTTTTATTTCCTACTGATTAAAGTGCTTTTACATTAAGTAAGTTGTATGAGAGTTTTATAGGAAAAATAATATTTCAATTTATAAAGTAGTTTTTTACATTAAATAAAGTTATATCTTTGATTAAAGTTTAATATTATTTTTAAAACTTATAAATTATTCTTGTTTCTATCTGTAGTAGAATTTACTGTGGAATTTTACACTAAGTATTTTTCAAGTAATATTTTAAGCCTTGAAATATTTTGTATCTTATAAAATTCATACCTTTTTATAATGTAAACAGAGATAAAGGTAAAATATGTTACATTTTTAAAAATCACTCTTTAATACCAAAAAAGTTTAATTGTAAACTTATATTAGTTTTCAAGACATGTATTTAAATATTAAAAAAAAATTCGTTCGTGGAAGAAGTAATTCTAATTTTAATTAATCTGATATTGGTAATGTATATTAACATTCTTTTTTAAAAATAAAATATTTTCTTGTTAAAGAACATTAACGTTTTTTGTACGCAAATCTGTAAAATTTATAAATATAAAAAGTGAGAACAAAATTTATATGCAAATTAGCATCCTGTTCTCTTCTCTAAATTACACTTTTTGTGAGTTATCTTTTTTATTTTTATTTTTCTAGAGAAGCGCATTTTGTTAACGAAAGACAATCTCATGATGTGCAAAGAAATGAAACAGAAAATGATATGCAAAAATCTGAAGTTTACAAGAAACTATTTGAATATGCATCTTCTGTAGGTTAGTACTTTCATTTTATAATGTTTCACTATTAAATTCTGTAAAAAAATTTAACTAAAATGAATATTTATTTACTTAAGTTGAAGACGAAGTATATGAATTATAATTTCATAGATATGGAAGAAGATGCACTTTTAGAAGAATGTGGGAGCTTTCATGTAGATACCTGCTTGAAAAAACATGGAAGAGCTTTAAATTTTCTAGGTGGTACGGCTATCGACTTTTTCACTAGTTTAGAATGTCTAGATTACGTTCTTAGTAAATCGGACCACGAAGAAAGAGAGACTCTTAGAGTGTTGCCAAAATCATCCAAAGGTCATCTGATCTTAGAATTATCAACTAAGAGGTTATTTTGGGCTAAAGCATTTGTTGGGGTCATCAAGAGGATTTTAGATAGTTTGTTCCACTTAAGAACTATCATCAAGATGCAAGGGAGTGCAGTCGATAGTTATTTATATGAAGTAAAGATTATAGAATCGAACAAGAAGGATCATCTTCTGTTGGAAAGTAATTCAATAGAAACAGAAGATACTCGCTTATCGGTTGCTTCATTTTGTAAAGCTTTCCCTTTCCATTTTGTTGTTGATCGTAACTTAAAACTAACTCAAGTGGGTTTAGGTTTGTCTAAACTTATCGGTGGTCGAAGTAAAAAAATTCGAGGATGTAACATTACGAAGTTTTTTCATATACTCCAACCGAAAGTGTCTCCCAGTTTCCAAGCTATTTATGCTAAAATGAATATGCCTTTCTTTCTATCAATTCAAAATTGTCATAAACAAGTTGAGGTAAGCATTAATTTCAATAAAATATTTTAAAAATGTGATTAAATAGACTAAATAATTTAGTAAGTGAGTGCAGAAACTCTAATATTTTAGATACATATTTTGTACGCTAAATAAACGATTTTATTAGGCAAATATATTTTAAACATCGCTAATTCTAATGTAGAATATTTTTAGGGGATGGAGCTGAAAGGACAAATGATATATTGTCCAGAATCCGACTCCTTACTGTTTCTTGGATCTCCAGTTGTAGACGGTTTAGACGAGATGAATGCCAGAGGTTTGTACTTATCTGATATCCCCATCCACGATGCCACCAGGGATATCATTTTAGTAGAGGAGCAGGTGCGAGCTCAAGACGGACTGAAAAGAAGGATGGACAAGTTGAGGAACTCTATTCAGGAAGCCAATAAAGCTGTCGAAGCTGAAAGGAGGAAGAACGTAGATTTGTTACATCTGGTCTTTCCACCTAATGTTGCTAGAAAGTTGTGGCTCGGTAAATGCAATTACTGTTTCTATATTATTCGGATTTGTGATAATGACTGTTTATATTATTTCTCTATCACATATAAGCTTACTATAAAACTTAAAAAATACAATAAAAGGTAATATAAATAAGCAATATAATTGAGTTCTTACATAGATTTATACAAAATCGCATATATAACTGGCAAAAGGTGTGGATCTATTGAACATTTTTCGAAAGAATGTAAAAGCTATATTACAATTAAACAGTCTGTTTTGGTGTATTTTATAATATACTTTTCTAATTTTGATGCTTTTTTACACGCATAATTTAATAAATATCAAAATTGATTTTTCTTGTCATTTCTGGCTAATATATTTAAATGTTAATTTTAATAATTATAAGTAAAATCTTTTTAAATAATTAAAAATTTTTGTATGCTTTATAAGAAAATAAAAATTGACTATTCTACTTTTAGCTAGAATTATTAATTTCATAACTAAATATTGTTTATATCTTTAAAAATTTTTAATTTATTCTGTTTGCTTTACAATAAAAACATAACTGAAAACACTGACAAAATTTAATACTAAATAATATTTTTTTTAAATATTTAAATTATCAACGTCCTATGGCTTTATTTTTACAGGTGAACATGTAGAAGCCCAACAATACGATAACGTGACAATGTTATTCTCGGACATAGTAGGCTTCACGGCTATCTGCTCAACTGCCACACCCATGATGGTAATTAATATGCTTAACACGCTATATACGATGTTTGACATTTTTTGTGGAGAACTAGATGTTTATAAGGTAATTATAATTTATTGACGGTATAAAAATTAATTATTTTATTACGAAAAATGTAATTTTCTTTACCAGACGGAAACTATTGGTGATGCTTATTGTGTTGCCGGAGGTCTTCACCGTCCAAGCAAAACTCACGCTCAACAAACAGCATGGATGGCTCTTAAGATGATGAATGCTGCTCAAACTGTACATTCTCACGATGGAAAACTACTTCAGGTGAGTAGTTACATTGAAATCTCGTTCAGAAAATAAATATATTTGTAATTATTTTAATTATATCAGATGAGGATCGGGTTACACTCGGGATCAGTTTTGGCTGGAGTGGTTGGAGTGAAGATGCCACGTTATTGTCTTTTTGGGAATAACGTCACTCTAGCTAACAAATTCGAATCCGGGAGCGAACCTGGAAAAATAAACATTAGTCCAACCACTTATAGGTAAGAATTATATATTTATTTTAAGAATAATTACCGATTTTTAAACATGCTAATCATATATTCAGCTTGCTTACAGAAACCGAAGGATTCTCTTTTGTATCGCGCAAACCGGAATGTCTTCCTCGTGAATTTCCCGCTGATATCGAAGGAACTTGTCATTTTCTAGACTCTTATCACCATCCGGATGTAGAACGACATCAACCACTTGACGTTCACATAAAGAAAGTTGTCGAAGAATTAGAACTAGATGTCACAACTCCGTGGAATACGGAGAAAACGTAATGAAAGTAACACAAGCTATAAAGTGTCCGAAAAATCATTACTTCTCCATGTTATTTCACATTTGGAATATTGTTTATTAAGAAAAGTGACATTCCAGAGAATGAATTTATATTCCATTTCCTTTTATTTTGCTAATAATCTGGTTTTTTTTTCTTTACCATTTCCCATTTCCCTATGTCGTTACCGAGGAAGAATCAATCACAATAGAATGGCTAAAACAAGCTAGTGATTGATCAATTAAACTCCAATTATGAAACTAAATTAATATAAATTGAAATGTCTAAATTAATTCTTTAGTGCGATTTTTATATAATAAAAAAAGGAAGGGATTATTTATTAAAAATTATTATTTTCAATAAATTCTGAAATTCTTGAATATTAAAGGATATATACATACTTTATATATCTTTATTTTTAAAGTACTTTTTACAGATTTATGCTTCTTTTATTATTTTTAAAACAATAAAAATAATTAAATCGTCAATTCGAAACTACTTTAGTTCCATTAAAACTGTTCCTCTCATTGTATATTGCTTGTTGAATGTTTGTGAATTTTCAAATTATTATTTTTTAACTGTAAATATTTGCACCCCAAAAATAAATATATATATATATATATATATACTGTATGTATTGAAGTTAAGAATATTTCATTTTAGCTAAAATTTGATATAACAAAGTATATTTTATTAATGGCTTAATGGCACGAAATCTACTAAATGATCCAAAGCAGAGATTCATACACAATTGAATTTTATATATACTCTTGTTCTGAGAAAAAGAGCTCAATTATGTTTATACTATTTAAAAAGTACAGAAACTTAAACCTTTAAAGAAAGCCTGGTAAGGGTAATAATTTAATTTTCTCTTATTCGAAATTCAGTTCATATCATTTGATTTTCGTTAAATTCCTTTATATCACACATGGATACCTGCATACTCAAGTTTAAAACGTGTTTCAGAGAATTTTAAGTGTTCTTTTCAATGTAATTCATTGCTTCTAATCTCTGACAGATTCTAATTTCGCATGATCTACGTATGAATTTTTAAAAATTTATCTTAAATAAATCATTAAAATAACAAATACTAAATATATTAATGTAAAAAATTATTTGTTTAAATATTAACTTAAAAGATTGTTTTAAAGTATTTAATTATTATTTTTTCATAATCATTAAATTTAATTATAATATAATTTTTTTGTCCAGAAAAGGGGAATACATAATTTACAAGGAAGATTTTAATTCTGAAAATAATTCAATTTAAATTGAAGTGCATAAAATTTGACAGCCATTATTCTCTTTTAACTACTTCAATTTTCTGGAAAAGAAAATTCTCTTTAATCTCATCTGGCTAAAGGCAAAACAATTTCAATAAATTTAACAGAATTTCAAATAGAATACTATTACTATTATCAAATATTCTTTATTAATATCGATTATCTTAATTCAGTCGTTAGAAAATCTGAAAAATATTAGGAAAAAAAGAAATATAGTATTGGTGTCTGGCCAATATATTTAAATGTTAATTTTAATAATTATAAGTAAAATCNCTTTAAAAAAATATTTTCCAGCTCGATTAGTTTTCTTTTGCAAAAAATTGAATATTTTATTATATTAAAAATGAATAAATTCTCTTAATCGTCAGTTTCATCGCGATAATTTTATTAAAATTTTGATTAATTATCTTATGAAATTTTTAAATATTAATATAATAAAAAATTAAATTATGTTAAAAATATCGTATATTTACACGAACTAAAAAAATATTGTTCGAAATTTATAAAGAAGAAAATGTTTTATTTGTAGTTTGAGAAAGTTTAAATTAAATTTTTAGCCTAAGATTTTAGTTGCTTAAATTACTTCTATTATAATTAAAATAAGATTGATGACTCAATTTTAGTTCGATAGTAAGTACTGTAAAACAAGTGAGAAAATATAATTGTTAACTTTAAAAATAAATATAAAAAAAATTCTGTTAAAATAGAGGAATATTTATGATTTTAATAAAAATATTTAAATAATATTTGAAAATAACTTCACTATAAATCGATTTTTCTTTTAACTTTTTAATACATCCACGGCTTTAAAGAAGTGAGATGAAGCCCGAACGAGTTACTAATGTGGGCTCATTTCTCTTCGAAAACGTAATAAATGTATGAATAAAATTAATAAAACGAATAAAAAATTCGATTTTTGACCATTTAGCAAAAGACATTTGAATATAGGCCTATATCATTTTATCGTGATTTTTATGTAAAACATTTAAATTTTAGGGATCTGAGTTCGGGATTTAAGCCAAAGTCCTGCTGTTTTTCGTTTATAAATATCTTAATATTTATGAAAAACACTGAATTATTTTGTATATTTACTAACATAAATCATTAAAATTTATTCGAAATATTTTGTTATATTTATAAACTATTATTTTAATTTCAAATTAATTTAATAAATGTTTTTTAAAGCATTTTCCCTATACTTATCTGCCACATAATTTTGAATTTGATTATATTTTATAACAACTTTTATATTGTCCGTAAGTTCGTGGACAGTTATCATACGTATTACTTGTCAATAGGATAAACAAGCAACGTATTCCATTTTAAAATAAACTAATAGAATAAAACAACAATATATTATAACGAGTATTGTAGTAAATGAGATATCTTTTACAATACAAGAAATTTCTTTATGAATTTATGTTTTTATACACATAAATTTACCTTTATGTACAAATTTTACTTTTTAAGTTAAAAAAAATAAATTAAATTTATATAAAAAAACAATTTAATAATGTAAAAATGATTGAAAAATTTATGATTTATAATCATTTCCTTTCTTCATATGATGGTTAGGAAATTACAAATAAAAATGTTATAAAATTATTATTATTATTGGCTAATTAAATTTTATTATGAAATATACGATAAATAATCATAAATAAAACATTCTCTAAAGTTAAAATCATAAGCCACATAATGACTTCATACCGTAGGTTAAATGCATCCGGACTTAATATGATGTTCCATTTGGGATAGCGTAATAAGAATCTCTTCAAGGTTAATGTATTTTTGCTGTTTTGATGGTTCTTAATACCTTGGAGCCATTTGCAATTCCTGTTTTCTCTTCGACATAAAGCTTTCTGACAATCGTTATATGTCAACATCATGCATTTACTCTCTCTCTCTCTCTCGAGGCTTCTGCATTCAATCCCTATTCTCATTATGCCCTTATCTCCAACTTATTCAGCACACATATTCAGCATTTAACACCTTAGTGACTATATTTTCTGTTTATTTTTTATATTGGCTAATTTATATCTTCATCTAATGATGCCATTATTAAAGAATTCGCTTTATCTTAATTACCTTCATCAAATACTCGAAAAGTAATGTTCAGAAAGGTTAAAAATGTTATTAATTTTTATACAGAAACTCATTACAATCTTACAATATTTAATTTTTATTACATAATGATGTTTATCCTCAAAGTTATTTCGAATTTTACTCGAGCGAAGTGACTCAACTCGATCTTATAATAAAATAACTTAACGATTCCTTGGGAATTATTCGAGACACAAGCCGACTTCTAAAATTAGTAATTTATATTTAAATGGTTAAATAAATTTACTTATTATGATAAAAAGTAGTTTATTGAAGAGATGTATTTATTCAGAACACGATTATCCTAGGTTTTTGTATCAATGTACAAAGGAAACAATGTTACAGATGCGCATCGAGTTCATTTTATGGCTTACAGAAGGAATTATGGCCTATGTACGATCGTTGTTGTTACACTAGAAGCATACTGATGATACTAATAACTAATACAAATGCAACAGAAAACCTTTTTATTGGATTTTCCCGTCTGTTCAACTCTTGTCCTCTTAAATAACAACGTTATTTTCTCACATAAACATTTATACATACATATAGTGTATTTATTTATAGACTTAAATGTTAAATTTTAAATAATGTAATTATTATTGCATTACATATGTATAAATTATACAAATATATAAACATAAACATGTTTTAATTATTTAAACAAAGTCTTTAAAACGATCAAATTGTTTCGTTTTCTTACTCGTTAATCAATTGAAATGTATAAATAGACCTATATTTAAGGTTATTTTTATTTTTTTAAATTGAAATTAAAATATGAATTTTTTAGAAAAAAATTAGTAAAAAGTTTTATTATAAAATTTAATAATTGATTATTGAATATTTATATAGAACCAAAACTCGATATAACATCTTCCTAAATCTGTCATCTTCTTAAACTGCTAATGAATACCAGCAAAAAAATCTTCCCCATCAATGGGAAAGCATCTTTTAGTATTTGTAAGATACTGTACAAAATATACGATTTCACATTGTAAACGACATTGTTATTAAAATGTCAAACTTTAAACTCAAACTTGAATATAAATTTGATTGATATAGACTATACAGTATATAATTCTTATTAAGATGCTTCAATATAATGCTATTCTCGATTTAGTGCAAATTGTAGAGGCATAATGCTAAATCGAGGTTTCGCTATATTTAAATTATAACTTTTAGATGTATTGTAAAACATTAATATTGAGCATTAACTTCAAAATGATTTAAACTTTAGTTATTAACGTTATTTTTATAACAGTAAAATCTAGGTCGAAAATTTACAAAAACTTCATAAATTAGAAGAGAAACACAAACTTTAGAGTCTTTACAACAGGAAATTACTGCACTTGTGTTCCTGTAGTGTCTTTATTCTACAGGAACACAAGTATAGTGAATCAATCTTTGTATGCTTATTTTTCATCCTGGTTTTTTATTATACAAAGTATATTTTTAAAATTATACCGTCGCCGGAGGAAATTTTTGAAATTTTACATATTTAAAGTCTACAAAAGTCTACAAAAAAGATTATTCCGCTGTCTGATCTTGTGTTCTTGTGGCGTGAAAAAGACGAATGGTAAAAACCCTAAAGTTTTTGTTTGTCTTCTAGTTACAAATATTCTTGTTAATTTAATAAATTTTGTCTGTTTAACTCCATAGAAAGTTAAAAATTTATTTAAATTTTGAAAAAGTCAGTAAGTTTATTTCATGTTTTGAAGGTATATAACTTATATTGAACAATTTGTGACACTTAAGCTACGACTCATAAATCTATTTGTAACATTCTTATAAATTGTTTTATCTTATAATAGACGATAGATATATATATTAAATAATTTTAAAGCATAAAATAAGTGAATATAATCTTCAAATTCATAAATTTGAAAACATTTTAGGCGGTTCAAACAGTTGAAAATACAGTTTTTATGTTATTTTCTAAAAAATATCTCATGTCTAGAACTAAAAA